GGCTGTGGAAATTTTTCTTTTAGAATGAAATCCGAATTAATAAATAAAGTCACTTGGCATAGCCTACCGAGACTCAACTTTGCAGTTGACAAATCCCACTCAGTTCATTGCTCATCTAACTTTCAGCAACTTTCATGAAAATCTAGGCTCTTTATCTCTTTGATAAAAAAACGTATTTCTCTCTCCCCCATCCTCTGAAACCCGAACTACTTGGTGGCTTAGTTGATACGAGTTCATTGTTTTTCAATTGACTTTCAAAATATGCCGTGCAAATATTTGAGGAACAGAACCTCCAAAGGCAGAAAAGGGGGGAAAAGGGCTGTTTTTCCATCTGCAACTTTCAGAATCATTTTCTTTCTTTGTGAATTTTGAACAATATTAAAGTTAGTAAAACACGACTTGTTTTAAGATGTGCTGGTCCAAGTAGAAACAAACTCACTTTGGATAAACGCTTGAAAATACTTTATATTTACTCCTCAACCATGTAATTGGTCTTTATTTATCTGAAATCTGAAGAATATTCCCATCTTGCAGGATAAACTGTAATCTAGGCAGGGCTTCTTCTGAATTCTGTGCCATTGTTCTAGAAGGTAACCAAGATTTTCAACGGTGGACACAGAATCTGCTTTTCAAACACAAAAGGCCAAAAATGCAATGCGATGGGATATCAAGTTATTGAAGAACCCTAAATATGCATTTATGCGCCGGCCCCTGTGCACGCCCCGGCTCCCCCCTCGGGCTCTGCAGCTCCTGGGCACGTGAGCCAGAGGGGCAGCAGCGGCTCATGCTCCTGGGAGCTGCAGAGCCCAAGCGTGGTGAGGGGGGAGCCGGGGCGTGCACGGGGGCAGCCGCCCACGTGCATCTGGTGCAGCCTGCAGGAGCCCCCTGGGGGGGGGGGGGCACCGAGCCGCAGCCTGGGCGGGGGCGCGGCTGCTTCCCCGCTAGCAGTGTCACCGCCTTTGCAGGGCTGCTCCCCCCTGCGCCGCGCTGGCTCCTCCATGGCTGGGTTTCTGACCCCCCAAGCCGATGCTCTGGCTCTCCGGGGCCTCGGGAAGGTGGCTTCTCCCTGCCGAGCCAGGGCATCGCTTTTTGCCCCACCCGCCAACCACTTGGCGCCCTAGGCGACCGCCTAGTTCACCTAGTGGTTGCACCAGCCCTGCCCGCATCCTGTGCCTGCCGTTCGCCAGCGCATGGCCCCTGCCCCGCGGAGGGACAGCAGCACATTCGGGATACGTAGGCCACGTCCACACTACGGCACAGCTCCTTGCCAGGGGAGAGCTCTCCCACGGCGAAATCAAACCACCCCTAACGAGCAGCAGTAGCGGTGTCCGCAGGAGCGTGTCTGTCGGGCCGACTTCGGGCTAACACGCCCGTGTGTTTGTCGGGCGGGGGGGGGAAAGGGGTGCTGGTTTAGACAAAGCCTGGGGAACTGAGGGCGTAAGTGGGGGGAATCAGGGTGACCTGGGTGGCTCCCAGCATGGGGCTGCGTGTGCAGGACGTACCCTGAGCAGAGAGACCTGCGTGTGCATCGGGGAAGAACCGCCAGGGGTCCCGATCCGAGATGGCCTGGCCAAGGCATGGCAGGCCAGGGCAGCCCCTAGCATCAGCGCTTGCGAGTTCGCACCCCAGGGCTCTCTCCTCGATTGATTCCATCCCAGGCTGGTGGGAAGGTCAACCTAGCTGGGCCAATTCCAGCTGGCACCTCAGCAAAGCCACCCATGCCAGCCCCCAGCCCCATGGGGCTCCAGCCACTGGGGCCACACAGAGAAGCCCTTCGCGAACGTCCCTGCATCTATGGCGGGGGCAGGGCCCATCCCTCCAAAGCTGCACCTGAAGCCAGACGACCCGGCGGGGTTAGGGTGGGGCAATCAGCCGCCCCCGTCCTTCCTCCCAGCCCCTGGCCACATGCCAAGCCCCTGGCACAGCAAGAGCAGGACCCTGGGGGCAGCCAGCGCTGGGTGGAGCTGGAGGAGCCGGTCGGGCCAGGATGCCAGCACAGACCTTCCCGCCCTGCTAGGAGACCACCCCCCCATCATTGTGATTCTGGATCTCCCAGAGCGGGGCTAGGTAACCCCAGCTCCCGCCATGCGCCCCCCGACAGGTGTTCAGGCTTCATGGTCCATTCAGCCCTCCTGAGACACCAGCCAGGGGGCCGGGCAGCAGATAGCACTGGGGAGGGGGAGGGGATGTTGGATGGACATTCATCCCCTGGGCCCCAGAGCCAGCCTAGACTCCAGCCCCCAGGCATGGCCAAGGATTGGGGTGGATGTCAGGGGAGAGCTCAACCCGCCCCATACCGATCTCCTCCCCAGCCACTACATCCGCTCCCACCCCCAGGCCTGTGATGGCAAAGCTTACCCTGGGGAGGGGGCAAAGCTTACCCTGGGGAGGGGGCTCAGCCCCCCATCCCCAAAGGTCTGGTACGGTTACAGCTGAGTGACACCTGAGGCAAGTCAGCTTGACCTCCTCCTCCCCCACTGGTGCAGGGACACCATGGGGCTGCTTTCCCAGCCCCCTGGCAGCCTCCATGACCTGCAGCCCCCTGGCACCATACAGCTCTCCTTAGGGCTCGTAGATGCAGCCCGCCCCCCCGCCCCAGCGATGCCAGGCCCTGTGCCAACGCAGCCTGCCCCCCAACCAATTGTCGCAGGCTCTCTGCAAACACAGGCAGAGTCAGGTGCTTGATGAGGGGGGGAGCGGGGAAGCTGCTTTGAGTGCTGCTGATGCAGCAAAACCTGCCTGAGTCTGCAGACAGCCTGGGCCAATTGCCCCAGAAGGGAGCTGCTCTCTGCCTCTCACTAGGGCATTAGCTCCAAGCCCCACTGCTCTGGGGCCCCCACCAACCTAACCCAGAGGGGTGCTCTGCTCACGGCAGGCAAGGAAAAGCATCGGGGGCCCAGCTCCCCCAAGCAGAGCCATCCTAGCTGCTGGGGTGAGTACAGGGGCCCCGCCGGATGTGGGGTGCGAAGGCACAATGCACCCAGGGCCCCCCGGTGCCTGAATCCACCCTTGTCAGACAGGAACACGCAGGATGGCAGCTCGCCCCACGGCGCAGCCAGCCCCGACGGGCACCGGCGCAGCCAGGGGGCCCTGGGCAGGAGTCCCAAGGGCAGCCCCGGCTCGCTCACCTGTCGCGGCCTCTCCCTGCAGCGTCTCCAGGTGCTTGGAGAGGCAGCGCCGGGCTGGTGACTCAGCCCGAGTCCCGGCCGCAGACAGGGAGTTGAACCCAGAAGTGCCCCTCCTCCCGCCCCCCCAGCCCCCCTCCTCTCCCAGCGCCGGGGAGAGAACCCAGGAGTCCTGGCTCCCCGCCCCCCGCCCTAACCCACCAGCCCCCGGGGACTGGCGCGCTGGCTCCAGGGGGCTCCGTGCTCCCCGGCCCCGGCCCGGCCCCGGTCTCCCCCGCTCACCTGCGCGCCGGGCGCCCGACCCGGCTCCGAGGTCCCGCGGCTCGGGGCCGGACTCGCGGCGGTGCCCGGGGAGCCCCGAGCCGCAGCCGCCCAGGGCCCAGAGCAGCCCGAGGAGCAGCCGCAGCCCCATGGCTCGGCTCGGCTCGGCTCGGCCGCCGGTCCTGGCTCCTGGCGTGCGGGGCGCCGCGGCTGCGGGTTTATCCCGGTCCGGGTCCCGGTCCCGGACCCAGCCCCGATCCGGCCGGGCCGCCCCCGCCCTCCCGGCTCGCACGGAGCGGGGCCGGGCCTGGCAGCGCCCGCTCGGCCGGGGAGGGGAACTTCCCGGCCGGCCCTGCCAGGGCTCGGGGCTACGCCCAGCGAGCTCCGCCTCCGCCCGGCCCCCGGGGAGCTGGGCATCGTCCGCCCCCAAGTGCCCTGCCCCCAAACACCCCCTGCCCCTCAACTGCCCTGCCCCCAAACACCCCCTGCCCCCCATCCCTGCCCCTCAACTGCCCTGCCCCCAAACACCCCCTGCTCCCCATCCCTGCCCCTCAACTGCCCTGCCCCCAAACACCCCCTGCCCCTCAACTGCCCTGCCCCCAAACACCCCCTGCCCCCACCCCCCCCCATCCCTGCCCCTCAACTGCCCTGCCCCCAAACACCCCCTGCTCCCCATCCCTACCCCTCAACTGCCCTGCCCCCAAACACCCCCCCTGCCCCCCACCCCCCCCCCTCCCCCCTCAACTGCCCTGCCCCCAAACACCCCCTGCTCCCCATCCCTGCCCCTCAACTGCCCTGCCCCCAAACACCCCCTGCCCCTCAACTGCCCTGCCCCCAAACACCCCCTGCTCCCCATCCCTGCCCCTCAACTGCCCTGTCCCCAAACACCCCCTGCCCCTCAACTGCCCTGCCCCCAAACACCCCCCCCCCCCCCTGCCCCCACTGCCCTCCCCAAACACCCCTGCTCCCCATCCCTGCCCCTCAACTGCCCTGCCCCCAAACACCCCCTGCCCCTCAACTGCCCTGCTCCCCACCCCTGCCCCCAAACACCCTCTGCCCCACTCCCCACCTCTCTGATCCCTCTGCCCTGCTCACTCCCCAGCCCCTGTGCCCCCAAATCTCCCCCTGTGTCCCCACTCTGTCCCTCCCCTCCCCGGAGGAAGGGGCTAACAGGAGAGGCTTTTCCTGCTGCCAAGGCTTCAGGACGACCTTGCTGGGTTGGGAGCCAGGGGGTCGCTGGGGGGGGGGCAGCCTTTGAATGAGGAGTTGGGTCCACGTGTCCTGGAGCTGAGTCATACAGAACTCTGGCCTCAGTGGTGCTGGCTCCCAGCTGCTCTCGCTGGGTCATGGGCATTGAGGGGTGGGGCAATGGGCCGGGACACCAAAGCTGGAAGGGGAGAGTTGAGGATCAGCCCCTGCACTGCAAACACCAGCTCCCGGGGACTGCCCTGACCACAGGCTGCCAGCAGGGTTTGAACCCGGGACACTAGCACAGGCCTCCTCCCCTGGAGCTAAAGGACTAACTCCCTCAGCTGGCAGGAGTAGCAGGCTGTTATCCTGTCTGTGCACCAGCTGCTCGAGGGGGACATGAGACAGAGACGTTTTCACCGGCACAGGGGCAGCCGCCAAGGCCAAGAGCAGCGTCTGTTTAATGAGCCAGGAGCCCCGTCCTGGGGAGGAACCTCCCACTGGCCCCCCCACGCCTCAGTCCGCGTATGTCATCTGCTCCTCGCTGCTGCTGTCTCCAGGCAGGGGCGTGCGGCCAGGGGTGCAGGCGAAGCAGATCTGCCCCATGTCCCTCCAGCAGGAATGGCAGTATGTGGTGCCGCAGGTGGGCGTGGGGCACTGCGGGGAGGCAGGCGAGCCGCACAGCACACAGTACCGGGGCAGAGAGCGGCGCAGACGTGGCCACCAGAGGTAGAAACGCTCCAGCAGGGGCTTCTCCTGCAGAAGAGACAAGGCCAGGGGCTCTAAGTGGGGGTGGGCAGCGGGTCCTTCTCCCCAGGGACTCCGTGACAGGCAGGTTCCCTGGGGCCTGGGGCTTTTGCTTGGCATCCTCCCCACAGCCCAGCCCGGGATCTTGTCCCGGCTGTGGGTCAGAGTGGGAGCCAGCCCCCGTGATGTGACGTGGGCCCCAGCTGCTGTGAGCAGGGGAAGCCCTGGCCTGGAATCCGCGACGGCAGACAGCGTGGGGGAGAAGCAGGAGTACCGTGAGCTGGGGAGGGCTGTGGGGGGCGGGGTGGCCCTCCACCTGTGGCAACGGGCGTGGAACATCCCCCACAGGCAGGCGAGCGTGTGCACAGGTGTGCAGAGGGTATGTGCAATGGCTCCCCCAAGCATGTGCGAGTATGTGCACAAGTGTGCAAAGGGGCGGGCCCATCAGGCGTGAGTGTGGCTGCTCTCTCCACAGGCGCACAGAGGGGCGTGTTGCCCTGGGCGTGCAAGGCCGTTGGCGAGCTGCGGGGCAGGCAGAGGTGTGTGCATATGTGGGGACTGCAGGGCCATCCCTGTCCCTCGTCATCCCCGTGCCCTGCCCAGCCCGACGCCTGCACTCACAAAAGCCTGGTGCCGCCGGGCACGCCGGGCGATGCGTCTCCCCTGCAGCCGGACAAAGGCCTGGCGTTTGCGCAGCAGCTCATTGTACAGGAACAGAACCCGCTTCTTCTCCCGCTGGCCGGAGGGCAGAGCCTGAGGGGCAGCGGGGGCAGGGCGACAGAGCCCCCCCCCCCCCAGCTCCACTCCCCTGGGATCTGGGGGTGACCCTGCCCCCCAGGAGTCTGGGGAGAGTGGGGTCTGAGCCCCCAGCCCAGGCAGGGGGCCCTGGCTGGAACCCACCTGGGCCCGATTAACAGAGACAGGAAGGAGGGGGGGTGTGGAGGGACCAGAGGGGAGATGGAGGAAGAGGAGAAACATAGGGGGGTGTTGGGGATAGAGGGGAGGGAGGAGTCATGGGGGGGAGAGGTCAGTGCGGGGCTCTCGGGGCAGGGGGTGGGGTCAGTGGGGGGGTCTCGGGGGCAGGGGAGGGGGCCGTGGGAGGCAGGGGCCTCACCTTGGGGAAATAGAAACATAGGGGGGTGTTGGGGATAGAGGGGAGGGAGGAGTCATGGGGGGGAGAGGTCAGTGGGGGGCTCTCGGGGCAGGGGGTGGGGTCAGTGGGGGGGTCTCGGGGGCAGGGGAGGGGGCCGTGGGAGGCAGGGGCCTCACCTTGGGGGAAATAGAAACATAGGGGGGTGTTGGGGATAGAGGGGAGGGAGGAGTCATGGGGGGGGAGAGGTCAGTGGGGGGCTCTCGGGGCAGGGGGTGGGGTCAGTGGGGGGGGTCTTGGGGGCAGGGGAGGGGGCCGTGGGAGGCAGGGGCCTCACCTTGGGGGAAATAGAAACATAGGGGGGGTGTTGGGGATAGAGGGGAGGGAGGAGTCATGGGGGGGAGAGGTCAGTGGGGGGCTCTCGGGGCAGGGGGTGGGGTCAGTGGGGGGGTCTCGGGGGCAGGGGAGGGGGCCGTGGGAGGCAGGGGCCTCACCTTGGGGAAATAGAAGGCAGCAATGATGCGACGCAGACGGTAGGCATACACCTGCCCCAGGCACAGCAGCACCAGGGCCCCCAGGGGCAGGCAGCTGGCCAGGTAGTCGCTCTGTGTCATGGCCTGGGGCTGCGGAAGGCAGGCTGCGGGGGGGTCGGACGGACAGACAGGCAGGGTGAGGCCTCGGCTCCATGTTCCCCTCGTCCCATTCCCCGCCCCCACCCCGGAGCAGCCAGAGCTCTGAGAAGGGGAGGGGGCACTGCCCTGGGGTCTCACTCGGGAGGCCCCCAGTGAATTCCCTGAGGGGAGGGGGAGCAGGGCACAGATGCCCAAGGCCGTGGACAGCAGCTGGGCTTGGCCTGGGCAGTAGCCCCGCAGCTGGGCAGAGATGGGCCAGGCCGCGGGGGAGGGCACCCTCCGTGTGGGGGAGGGGTGTCCATCTCCCCCCTCACCCAGGTTAGTCGACTCCAGCGCCATCTCGGAGGACGTGTTCAAGGCTCCAATGGTGCTTCGGAGAAGCCGGGCCAGCAGAGAGTGGCCCCCGACCCGCACCTCCAGGTGGTGGCTGCCTGCAGCAGGTGGAGAGATGGGGTCGTGAAGAGAAGGACCCTGGGGGACACACGCAGGTGGGGGTCTGCAGGGGCCTAGGGAAGGCAGGGAGGGGAGTTGACGAGCCCTGCCTGTGGGGCTGGAGTGCGGGTGCCCCCTGTGATGAAGTGGGACTCTTCTTAATCTTTTCTCCAAATACTGTCTGAGTGCCTCAGTTTCCCCTTGGCAGTTCTTAAGTCTCTAGGTGGTGGGATCAGGGGGTGTGACTGTTGCCGAGCCCGAGAGGGCCCGTGTGATGGTGTCTGCACAGAGAATGGCCGACACCCTGTCTCCTGGCGACTGAGGTCAGGTGGCCTCCTTCCCCGGGAGAGAGACAAAGGCCAGAGGAGGGGCTGGAGGGACTTTCAGTTTAGAGCCAGCTGGGGAAATGGACGGAGGCCCAGAACCGGGGCTTGGGCTCCCTACCCCCAAAGATGGACCTGACTGAGGGGTCCTGGTCTCTGCACCTACAAGGTCTGTGTTAGATCATGTTCCTGTCGTCTAATAAACCTCTGTGTTACTGGCTGGCTGAGAGTCACGTCTGACTGCGGAGTTGGAGGGCAGGACCCTCTGGCTGCCCCAGGACCCCGCCTGGGCAGACTGGCTGTGGGAAGCGCCCGGAGGGGCAGAGGAGGCTGAATGCTCCGAGGTCAGACCCAGGAAGGTGGAAGCCGGGTGAGCTGTGTGTCCTGCAGACAGGCTGTTCACAGAGAGGAGACTTCCCCAGAGTCCTGCCTGGCTTCATGGGGAGCAGGTCCAGAGCATCGCCCGGGGACTCCGTGACACCCCCTGCCAGAAGTTGTGAAAGGCACTTGCCGCTGCTGAAGGGAGGCCACCATCCAGAGATGGTACCATGGGTCTGGGGGCACTGCCCCCTCTGGGGACGGTGCCCTGGGGCTGGGGTGCCGGGGGCGGGTCAGCTGCCTGTGCCAGGCACTCACTGCGGAAGGAATACTGCACAAAGGAATGGTGCCGGATGACGCTGAACATGGTGTAGAGCACGTGGTCCAGGCCCCAGGCCAGCAGCAGGAAGAGCAGTGGGGGGATGCACTCCAGCAGCTCCAGCATCTGGGGGGGTGCGGGTGCGTTACAGCCTCCCCCAGGCCCACCAAACGTCCCGCAATCCCAGCCCAGTGCTCCCCCAAAGCACGCCGCGCGATGCTCGCTCAGCGCCAGTCCCACGGGAGTCACGCTGCCGGGCAGCCAGGAACACCCTGTGCCAGCGTGGGCCCCCGGCCCCCACTCACCAGGCTCTTCAGCTCGGGCGGCTGCACGGCCAGCCTGCACGGGAAGATCACACCGGAGACCTCGGCCCGGCGCAGGGGCAGCAACGTGCGCTTCTTCTGGAGAGACAAAGCGGGGCTGGCATCCAGGGCCTGCCCCTCCCAGGGGCCCTCACCCCACCCCTCCTGGGGGCACCCAGGGCCTGCCCCTCCCAGGGGCCCTCACCCCACCCCTCCTGGGGGCACCCAGGGCCTGCCCCTCCCAGGGGCCCTCACCCCACCCCTCCTGGGGGCACCCAGGGCCTGCCCCTCCCAGGGGCCCTCACCCCACCCCTCCTGGGGGCACCCAGGGCCTGCCTCTCCTGAGGGCTGTCCCCCCACCCTTCCTGAGGGCACCCAGGGCCCGCCCCTCCTATGGGCCCTCACTCCATCTCCTGGCCAGGGGCATTCACCTGGAATAGCCACAGAGTGCAGGACAATTTGTGGACTCTCTGCCTGGGACCCTATCCCCGAGTCCACCGATCCCCAGCCCACGGCTCCCCATGCCCTCCCCAAGCCAGCCAGGTGCCCTCCCCAAGCCGGCCAGGTGCCCTCCCCAAGCCGGCCAGGTGCCCTCACCTGCTTCCAGCGCCGGGCATCAAGCTGGCGGAAGTAGGTGGTGACGTAGAGGTTGTCGAAGCGGATGTCATGGTTGTAGTGGTTTGTGTAGGAGAAAGCGCTGGGAGACGAGTGGGGGGAGCTGAGACCTGGGGCCCCACTGAGCCCCACCCCCCCATGCTGGGCACTGACAGACAGGCACATGGGGCACAAAGCCCCTTGCTGCCAGGGGAGGCCTGGTCCCAGAGTCCACACAAGCCCCAGGGCTCACACAGCTCATTCACAGCTCGCAACGGGCTTTATAAGGGCAGGATCCCAGTCTCTGTTTTACACACGGGGAAACTGAGGCACGGAGTCGGGACAGGACTTGCCCCAGGTCACCCAGTGGCCAAGGTGGGACTAGAAGCCCAGTCTCCAGAGTCCCAGGCCGCACTCTACCTGCTAGGCCAACCTGCCTCCCATAACATCCCCCCAGGGCATGTGGGAGTGGGGGCTCGGGGCCCGTCCCATGCTCCCCGGGCCGGGTGGCCGAGCTCACGCGATGAAGATGAAGAGGAAGGTGCAGGAGAGCAGCAAGCGCAGCACGGAGATGGTCTGGCCCAGCCGGGCGCTCTGCTGATGCACGTGCGAGGTCACCTCCTCAGTGAGCCGCTCCCGGGACACGTTTGCGCCCACCAGTGTGTCCTGGGGCTCATGCTGGGGGGCAGAGAGCCTGTCAGTGGAGGGGGTGCAGCCCTCCCCAGGGCCCCAGCAGGCGTGGGGGCTGGGCAGTTCACCTCCGGGGGCACTCTGTAAGGGGGGTGCTACGCTCCATCGGGGCCTGGCTGGGGGGAAAGGTCGGGCTCAAACCCGGGAGGTGGGGAAGATGTTACACCTCAGGGGGGGCACTCGTTCTGCCTAGAGTGGTGAGGGAGGTAGTGGGGGGGGTCACATCTTGGGGGGAGGGGCGGGGATCACACCCTAGGGTGGGGGAGGGGCATTCACACCTTGACGACCAGCTGGGCGCTGAAGTCCTGGCTGATGCCGACCACGGAGCTGTTCACCTTGTCGTAGGTCTGGCCGAAGTTCCCCTCCACGGGGATCTTGTCCCTGCACCATGGGTACATCACTGCGGGGGGTGTGTGTGTGAAGTGATCTGCATGGAGTGGGGAGCGCCCCACTTGCCCCCATCCTGCCGCAGTGTGATGAAGCGGGACTGTTCTTAATGTTTCCTCTGCATAGTGTGGGGGTGCCTCAGTTTCCCCTAGGCAGTTCTTAAGTATCTAGGGGGTGGGGTAAGGTGTATGATCATTGCAGAGCCCTAGAGGGCAGGTGTGTGCAGGGGTCTGGACACAGACAATGGCCGATACCCTGTTTCCTGGCAACTGATGGCCTGGGCCCTTCCCTCACCGCCGGGCCCCCCCCCCGCAAGGTGAGAGCTAAAGGGTTGGAGAACAAAGGGATCCGGTGACCTCCTGGCTCGGGAAAGGGACAAAGCCCAGAGGAGGTGGGGCTGGAGAGGGTTTCAGTTTGGGGCTGGCTGGCCTCCCCCTCCAGCACCAAATGCCTCTGGCCATTCTCTGTGTCCAGACCCCTGCACACACCTGCCCTCTGGGGCTCTGCAAGGATCATACACCCTTACCCCACCCCCTAGATACTTAAGAACTGCCTAGGGGAAACTGAGGCACCCCCACACTATTCAGAGGAAACATTAAGAACAGTCCTGCTTCCTCACACACAGCCCCACCTGTCCCTCCCACCTGGGGTGCTCAGGGCTGCTAAAGGCGGTGTGGGGGCTTCCTGGCTCTTCTGGTCTCTGAGTTGGATGCTCTGCCGGGGTCTGGGCAGCACCGGGGCCCCGCATGGGAGAGGACCCCAGCATGGGGGGAGCAATGGAATGAAGGGGTCTCACCCTCCCCGCCGCACCCCCTACGTCCCTGGACCTGGGCACGCAGCAGCCCTGCTCTCCTCAGCCTGGGGCTCCCAGCTCCTCCACCATGGGGTCACCCTCTGGCCCCCTCCTCTCCCCCAAAGCTGCCCCCAGCACAGGGGCTCCCTGGAGACTCACCCTGCACCACGTGGCAGAGGAACTTGAACTTCATGGGTAGGCAGAGCAGGTGGCTGATGAGGGGCACAGCGATGCTCCGCTGGCAGGCCTTGTGCTTGGCATCGAACCAGGCCTGGCAGCGCCTGATGGCCTCGTCAACTACGTCTGGGGAGGGAGCAGGTCACTGGGGCGTCTCGCCACGGCCCAGCGCAGCCCCCAGCTCAGCCGCACCCAGAGAGCGGAGCCGCAGCCCTGCCTGGTGCAGCCTGGCCCTGCCTTGGCCGCCTGGCACTGGGCCCCCCGCCCCACCCAGCCTGGGCACACTCACATTTGCAGCGCAGTTTGGTTTTCTGCTCGTACATCTGCTGTGTGCTGGGGGCGCGGTGCTCCTGTGCCCGGCGCGGGCGCCTCACGCCGTACCCCGCCTCACTGGCCACCTGCTTGTTCAGCCCCGCAAAAGCCTGCAAGATGTTCCGGGTCTCCGCATTGAGGGTCCGCCCGCCCTTCTGCTGGGGAAAAGGTGCTCATGGGGGGGGGGCAGGTCTGCCCATGGGGGGGCGGAACCCTGCCCTGGGCTGAGTGGGGGACCCCCAGGCTCCACCACCATGTGCAGCCCTTACTCCAGTGCCCATCCCCAACCGCCCAGCTCCTCTGCCCACCCAGCTGGGCTCCCCAGTGCTCAGCACCCCCTGGCCGGGCTCCCCAGTGCTCTGTGCCCTCCCCCCAAGCCGGGCTCCCCAGTGTCCCTGCGCCCCTCCCCCAGCCAGGCTCCCCGGTGTCTCTGTGTCCTACCTAGCCAGGCTCCCCAGTGCTCCAGGCCAACCCCCCGAACCTCCCACACTCCCTCCACTGCACACACACCCCAGCCAGGCTGCCCTGTGCCCTCCCTGGCCCCAGCTCCTCATTGCCCGTCCCGGCCGGGCTCCCGCCCGTGCTCCCTGCTCCTCACCACCAAGTCTCGCAGCATGGCACGCAGGGGGGCCGTGGACACCCTCCAGATCTGCCGGCTGTGGTTGATCTGCAGCTCCACGGTGCAGCCCACGGAGTGGATCACCTCGTCCAGGTTGTGCCACATGTTGGCGATGGGGCCTGGGGATGGGCCGTGCGGCCAGGTCACAGCCTCCCCACGCCAGGGCAAGGCCTGGGGCCAGAACCACCTGGCAGCCCCCACCCTGCACCAGAACCACCTGGCAGCCCCCTGCTGAGATGGGGTGAGAAATGCAACCCCCCTCACCATACCCTGAGTGAGGGCGCAGTGGGGAGTGGGGGTCACCCCCAGGTACCCAGGTAAGGGTGCAGTGGAGGGCGGGGTGATGTTATTGACACAAACTGGGACCATATAGATCATTGTTGCAACCAAGGTCCTATAGTGGCATCAAATCTTGTATAAAGGGGGTCAAATAAGGTGTCTAAGACAAGGTTATGGTTGGCTGGTTAGGGTTATGCTGTCTGGGTGCACATACGTACCATTTTTATATTTAAAGTGATCAGTATTGGCTCTGTACTGTCTGTAGTTCAAACTTGTGCTAGGCTTCTGGGGGACACCTGTCACGGAGTGTGGGGGAGTCCAGGCCCTGCACCCCTCTTCCTGGGATTCACTGAGCCTCTCAGCCAGCCAGTAAAACGGAAGGTTTATTGGACAACAGGAACAGTCTCAAGCAGAGCTTGTGGGTACACCCAGGACCCCTCAGTCAAGTCCTTCTGGGGGAGCAGGGAGCTTAGACCCCAGCCCTGGGGTTCCCTGCATTCCTCCACCCAGCCCCAAACTGAAACTAAACCCACCCAGCAGGCTCCCTCCTGCAGCCTCTGTTCACATTCCTGGGCAGAGGTGTCACCTCTCCCTCCCCCTCCAGGCTCGGGTTACAGGTCTCCCATTGAAACTCCCCTGCCACATTCCCAGGTCAACACTCCCCCCTCCCTGCTGCGTCACACACCCCAGACAGGTTGGGGTCAGCTCTGCCTGGCCTGCTGGATGGCCCATTAAGGACCATCAGCGATACAAGTGACCCATTGAGGGAAGGCAGACACGCCTGGGGACTCAGCCAGGTGGGCAGGGCCCTGCCTATGGACAGGACTCTGGGGTTTTCCAGGCCATGGGCTGGGCAGCTTGTCCTTGGGACAAAGAAAGAGAAGCCGCATGGCAAGAGACTTTGAAAAGCTGCCGCAGCTCCTCCATCTTCTCTTCAGTCCTGCTTCTGGCCTCTGGAGGGACTTTGCTGCAAACGGGAAGCTCTGAACCAAGGACTGAAGGACCCGTCCCAGCTGGGGATGTTCTCCAGAGACTTGATTTGAACCTGCAGCTTATTCCACCCCTGCTGCAGGCCTGAACCAGGAACTCTGCCATTGCTGTGTGTCACTGATTCCACTGAACCAGTTCTAGCTCTCATCTCCCGCTCTTTCTTTCGATGAATAACCCTAGAGATTTTAGATTGTAAAGGACTGACAACAGCGTGATTCGTGGGTAAGATCCGATTTGTACATTGACCAGGGTCTGGGGCTTGGTCCTTTGGGATCGAGGGAACCTTTTTCTTTTATTGGGGTATTGGTTTTCATAACCATCTGTCCCCATGACGAGGGGCTCTGGTGGGGATACTGGGAAACTGGAGTGTCTGAGGGAATTTGCTTGTGTGACGTGTGGTTAGCCAGTGGGGTGAGACCGAAGTCCTCTCTGTCTGGCTGGTTTGGGGTGCAGGAGACCCCAGCTTTGGGCTGTGACTGTCCTGCTCTAGGGAATTTGTCCTGAATTAATGCTCTCAGTTGTGGGGAGCAGGGGTCACACCAGGTGCCCGGTGAGGGGGTCACTGCCCCCGCCTATCTCCAGCCTCACCCCGGCTCCTTACCGTCATAGACGGCAGCCAGGACGTAGGTGAGCAGGTAGAGTCGCCCCTCCTTGCCCAGGAACTTGGGGACGACCAGGAGGCTGGCACAGCGGAAGTGCGGGGAGACGCCCCAGCCCAGGGCGCTGACACCTGCAGGGGAAGGGGGCTGAGACAGCTGGTGGCTTCTCCCCACAGCCTGCCGCCCAGCTGAGCACCGGTGAGGCCAACCCGCCCCCCACCCACAGGACACAGGCACTGCTCCTCTTCCATGGGCACCCTCCCACCAGGGGGCACCCCCTCTCCTGAGCACCCACCCACCATGGGGCACCCCCTGTCCTGGGCACCTTCCCACCATGGGGCACCGACCCCCTGGGCACCCACCTGCCAGCCCGTACATCAGCTTTATCTTGTGACCCTCCTCGATGCTCATGGGGAAGATGAGGAGCTGGGAGAGGCCTGGACAGCCAAGAAGCCGGAATGTGGGAGCTGCCCTGAGCCCCTCGGGCCCTTCCCTGCCCACAGATCCCTCCCTCCAGCCCCACACACCCCCCACCCCCCAGCTGCACCATGCCCATGGGGCGGGGGGGCGGGGAGCGCTCAGGCCAGCTGCAGGAAGGCCACAGCCTGGCCAGCACAGGGCAATGGCCCCAATTTAACAAAATGGGGTTGGAGGCTGATGTGGCTAAACTGGGGTGACCCCCACCCCAATATCCCCCCGATACCCCAGTGCCCCCAGACACCCCAACATCCCTGTTGCCACCAATGCCCTGGCATTACTGGCCCCCATCACAGGCTCCCAAGCAGCCCCCCCATGTGTCCACCCCACCCGCTCACCCCCACAGCAGGGACCCCCCGTCTCCCGGCCGTTCTGGGCACTAACACCCCCGAAGGCCTCCCCAGCCCCCCGACAGGGCCCGGCCGGGAGGGACTCACCGAGGGCCAGGAAGCCCCCGACGCCCGCACCCAGGAAGAACTTGCTGAGGCGGAACTGGTCAGGCTGGCTCCAGAGGAAGCGGGCACAGCTGGAGGGCAGCAGGCCCACGGCTCGCTTCAGGGCTGTGGGGAGAGATGGGGTAATACCAGGTCTCCCCAGCGCGCCACGGGGGGCGTAACAGGGCGCTGGGGTTGAAGGGGCTGGGGCCCAGGCCAGGGTCCCCGAGGGGGGGGTCTCACTTGTATTGGGCGGTTTCTGCCGCCTCGGTCTCCCCATGCCAGCTGTGCTCTCCTCCCCTCGCTGTGGCTCCAGGACCCCCAGCGCCCGCCAGTGCCCCGTCTCCCGGCGACGGGCAACGACGCCTGGGGCCCCTGCGCCCGCCAGTGCCCTATCTCCCGGCAACGGGCAACGACGCCTGGGGCCCCTTCGCCCGCCAGTGCCCCGTCTCCCGGCAACGGGCCACGACGCCTGGGGCCCCTGCGCCCGCCAGTGCCCCGTCTCCCGGCAACGGGCAACGACGCCCGCCGTGGAACCCTGCCCGAGTGGGACCTGACGGGGCCCTGGTGCCTGCGACTCTCCGGCAGTGGGCCGCCGGGTCCCTGTGCCGCTGCACAGCTGCCCCCCTCCCCGCTGCCGCGGCCCCTTGGCCCCAGGCCAGGCTCGAACGCAGACTGGGCTGGTGAGAAGGAGAAACAAGGTCCCTCAGTAGCTGGTGCGGGCCAGGGCCAGCTGGGTGCTACCACCCCAGAGCCGCATGGGCCAGCCCCAGCATCTCCCGCAGCAGGGCCCAGCTGATCTCTGCATCACACAGCCCCCCAGCCCAGCCGAGCTCAACGCCCCCCCGGGCTGAGCAGGCAGGAGCCAGCCCCATGCTCACCCAGGCATGCTGGGAGCTGGGCGCCCCACGGGCACCTGGAGCAGGAGAGAGCCGAGCAGGTGCGGGGTGGGGCAGGGAGGAGGCGTGGGGAGAGGGGCCGGGGGTCTGGAGGTGTCTGGGTCCCAGCGATGCCTCGTCTCTCTGCAGCCCCGGGCCCCGTTCCGTGGGGCGAAGCGGAGGATTCTCCCCCCCCCCCCCCCCGGCGCCAGCTCTATGGGGCTTCTCTCAGCTCTCCGCAGGGCTCTGGGCACATCAAGGCAGGGCCCACGTCCCAGGAGCAGGAAGGGCAGTGGCGGGCCAGGGCTGGCGGGGGAGAGCCCCGTGCGGGGCGTGGTACGCAGCGCGCGTGGCTTCGTCCTGGGCATGACCCTGGCCAGCCTCTACGGTGCCCTGGTACTCTTCGCGCAGAGCTACAGCATCTGGTACTGTCTGGTGTCCACCGCCACCCTGGGCACCGGCCTGGGGCTGGGCATGGCCTTCTCCAGCAAGGTGCGCGTCACCGTCCTGCTCATGCTGCCCCACGTCTTCTCCAGTAAGTGCCCCCCACCAGCCACAGGGTCCCCAGCCCCCTGATCCCACAGGGACCAAAACCAGAGCCGGGATCACCTGGCGTCACACCCCCTGGGGTCCCCGGGCCCAGCCCGACATACCGGCCGTGCCCCTGCCTGGCAGACCCTGCGCGGCCACAGGGAGTGGGCAGAAGGGGCAGCTCGCCCCACACCCAGCGCCCAGCTCCCAGCCTGCCCCCCGGGGCACCCTGCATCCCCCCAGACCCTGCCCTGCCTGCCCCACTGACGCTGTGGAGTGCCTGCCGCCCCCTGCAGAGCAGGGGAAGAACATGCTTCTGCTGGTGGCGCTGGGCATGGCCATGCAGGGGCCCTGCGCCAACATCCTGCGGAACTTCGCCCGAGCGGCCCAGTCCGTGTCCTGCGGGGCCGAGCTCACCCTCAACCAGACGGCCGAGATACTGCAGAGAGCCAGGGAGCCGCTGCTCAGTGAGACGGGGAGCGGGGGGCGGGGGGTCACAAGTGGGGAGCTGGGGGACCAGGGAGGGATCCATTGTGGAACCTGGGGGGAGGGCTAGGTGTTTCAGGGGAATTGGGGCATCCCGTGGGGGGTGCTATGGGGTGCCCCATGTGGGGAGCAGCGGGAGGCCCTTGGGGGGGGTGCTCACCATGTCCCCGCCCCCAGACGCCCTGACCAGGATCAAAGCCATCGCCCAGAAGGCCAAGGTGGTGGGCGACCGCGTCCGCAAGTTCTTCCGCTCCGTCATGGACTCCGTGCGACACATTGGTGAGTAGGGGGGGAGAGCCGGGACGAGGCACCAACAGCGACCACCTCCTACTGGCCCCCCAGCCCAGGTCAGCTCAGCCTGCAGCCTGCTCAACCCACCCCGGGCCAGCCCCCCACCTGCCCCCAGCCAGCCCCCCAGGCCATGGCCCCCCACCTGTCCCACCTGTCCCTGGCTAGTCCCACCCAGGTCAACTCAGCTTGCTGCCTGCCCCCTCCCCTGGCCATAACCCCCCTCCTGTCCCACCCTGCCCCGTCTGACCCCACCCCCTCTGCCACCCAAAACCCCGATCCCCCCCTGCCAGCCCTCAGCCTATCTGACCCCTCACCCTAGCCAGCCCCCAAACAGCAACCCTCAACTTGTTCCTCCATACCTGCCTCCAGGCTGGGACCCCATTCGCTACCCCCAGCCAGCCCCCAACCCCAGTCCCGTGACCTGTCCCCCCACCCCTTCCAGCCAACCCGCATCCAGCCCCACTCCTGCTTCCGTTCTGTGTGCTTGCTAGGGCGGGGGGAGGTAGGCACCAGCTGTGGCTTGGAGCAAAGCCCATCTCCTGCACCCCACATGGTGCCCCATGGCCCTGCCCTCATGCCCCAATCCCCCCCACAGCCCCGTGCCCTCCATGGTGCTGCCCATATGCCCCCTCCCCTGTGCCCCATGATTCTGCCTTCATACCCTGTCTTGCAACCCCTTACTCATGGCCCTACGCCACCTTGCCCACCCTCGAACCCCTGCCCTGCTGCCCCCCAGGATGCCCTTGTCACGGAGTCCCTGGGCGATGCTCTGGAACTGCTCCCCATGAAGTCAGTCAGGACTCTGGGGTAGTCGCCTTTCTGTGAGCAGCCTGTCTACAGGACACACAGCTCACACAGCTTCCACCTCCCTGGGTCTGACCTCGGAGCATTCAGCATCCTCTGCCCCTCCATGCGCTTTCCCCCAGCGAGTCCGCTCAGGCGGGGCTCCTGGGGAAGCCAGAGGGTCCTGCACCCCAACTTCACAGTCAGACGTGACTCTCAGCCAGCCAGTAAAACAGAAGGTTTATTAGACGACAGGAACATGGTCTAAAACAGAGCTTGCAGGTGCAGAGAACGGGACCCCTCAGCTGGGTCCATTCTGGGGGGCAGTGAGCCAGACAACCACGTCTGCACTTCACTCCATGTCCCAGCCAGCCCCAAACTGAAAACCCCCTCCAGCCCCTCCTCCTCTGGGCTTTGTTCCTTTCCCGGGCCAGGTGGTCACCTGATTCCTTTGTTCTCCAACCCTTTAGCTCTCACCTTGCAGGGGGGGAAGGGCCCAGGCCATCAGTTGCCAGGAAACAGGGTGTCGGCCATTCTCTGTGTCCAGACCCCTGCACACACCTGCCCTCTAGGGCTCTGCAATGATCATACACCCTTACCCCACCACCTAGATACTTAAGAACTGCATAGGGGAAACTGAGGCACCCCCACAATATTCAGAGGAAACATTAAGAACAGGCCCACTTCGTCACATCTCTCCCCCCTTCGAGATCGAACTGAGCGGGGTCACTTTACCCGGTGACCTGGGGAAGTTTGAAGCCACCAATGTTCCCATGGATGCCCCAGCATCTCTCCCATTCCTTGGTAGGAGTTACACCAGGCCCTTCCAGTTTCACGCCCTCCCTTAGGTCGGGGGTGGTCGATAGCACTAGCAGGCTGCATGTGGGAAGGTTTCTGCAGCCCATGCCCTTTGGCCACCCCAAAACCCCAGGGGGTCAAACTGGGATTGGGTTTTCTCCCAGAGCTCCAGTCTGGAGGGCTGCAATTCGGGCTCTCTTGGTTAAGGGCCCCCATCTTGACCTGGGCCACATACTGTTCACTTACAGAACTAGCATGGAGACATCCCTTTCTCCACAACCTTGTCTCCCCAACAAGCTGGCCAAACACAGCCACTTGGTTATAGGACGGTATACCTTTCTTAACAGCTTTCACTCCATCTGAGACCTTCTCAAAGCTCTCCACACTGGATCTTTCAACAGGAAAGTCAGTGGATCCATTCACAACAGAAAATTTCTGGCTGTTAGGAACTGAAACTTTCTTGATTAAATCATTTTCACACCCTTCAGTTGCAGTAAACTGCTTGCAAAGACTCCATGAGGATTCCTTTCCCAAGGGCTTTTCTATGCAACAATTCACCCCTCCCAGAAATTCTGCTCTTACCCTCTTTACCTAGGGCTTGCTCTAGGGGAACACTTTCCTGAGCAACTACAGACTCTTTCTGGGTCTCCCTTACATCCAGAATCACCTCTGGCCCATCAGGCGGATTCCTACACAATCCCCTTTCAGGCAAACTTACAGACTTCCTAGATAAAAGGTTAGAAGCATTCTCCTTCCCTTTGCCACACACAAGTTCAGGAATCTTTTCCTTCTTGCTACAGGTTTCCACACCCTCAGTAGGTAACACAATCACACACCTTCATGCTCTCCTTGTGCCCTGGCTAGGATCTCACCCTGATTAGACAGAGTTGCTCCACCCTTTCCAACAACACACTAGCAACAGGCAAAAATACAAGCACCAGAATTGTCTGGTCTCGGGGATTTTACATAGACCCTAACTGGATGCGACCTAGTTACAGAGCCATTCTCCCGAGCAGACAGAAACTTAGGACCCTTCCCTTCCTGGGCTTTAGCTGAATCCAGAACCAGCTCTGAGACAACTGCACGACCCTCAACCATCACAGGCTGAAAGGCCCCTTCTGTCTGCTCCACAGACCAAGAAGAGCCGGACACACTTTCTCCTTTACCAGACACACAGGTTGGGATCTCATTCCCTTTGTCCCAGCACACAAGGCTGGTCACAGACAACTGCTTGGAGATCAGGGTAGCTCCCTCCATAGGCAAGTCAATACCCCTGACAGACAGAGACCCATTTCCTTCACTGTCCCAATTCTCCACCCAGCTAACAGGTAAGGTCCAGGGACTCTCATCTTCCACTCTCCTCGCCTTCCCACCCTGCTGACTGGACACAGCCATCAGCTCACAAGGCTGCCTAGGCTCATCCAAACTTCCCTTACCAAGCACCTTGTGTCACGGAGTTCCTGGGCGATGCTCTGGAACTGCTCCCCATGAAGTCAGTCAGGACTCTGGGGTAGTCGCCTTTCTGTGAGCAGCCTGTCTTCAGGACACACAGCTCACACAGCTTCCACCTTCCTGGATCTGATCTCGGAGCATTCAGCATCCTCTGCCTCTCCGTGCGCTTCCCACAGCGAGTCCGCTCAGGCGGTGCTCCTGGGGAAGCCAGAGGGTCCTGCACCCCAACTTCGCAGTCAGACGTGACTCTCAGCCAGCCAGTAAAACAGAAGGTTTATTAGACGACAGGAACATGGTCTAAAACAGAGCTTGCAGGTGCAGAGAACGGGACCCCTCAGCTGGGTCCATTCTGGGGGGCAGTGAGCCAGACAACCATGTCTGCACTTCACTCCATGTCCCAGCCAGCCCCAAACTGAAAAACCCCTCCAGCCCCTCCTCCTCTGGGCTTTGTTCCTTTCCCGGGCCAGGAGGTCACCTGATTCCTTTGTTCTCCAACCCTTCAGCTCTCACCTTGCAGGGGGGGAAGGGCCCAGGCCATCAGTTGCCAGGAAACAGGGTGTCGGCCATTCTCTGTGTCCAGACTCCTGCACACACATGCCCTCTAGGGCACTGCAATGATCATACACCCTTACCCCACCACCTAGATACTTAAGAACTGCCTAGGGGAAACTGAGGCACCCCCACACTATTCAGAGGAAACATTAAGAACAGTCCCACTTCGTCACACCTTGCCACTCCCCACAGATCCCCTGCCCTGCCTGTGTCTCCCCCCACTCAGCTGGGGTCTCAGCTCCCACTGTGCTCAGCACTGCCCTTGCTGTCCCAGTGGGGGCAGGCAGCAAGCTCGCTGCTTTCCTCACTGCATCAGAGCCAGCGAGAGTCCCCAGTCTGGTGTGCAAGGGGGCAGGGAGCATCTCTCTGTCCCACCGAGTCCCAGGGGTCTGGTTACAGGCAGGCAGGTAGCCTGAGCCTAGCGGCTCCTCCCTGCTGCCAGCCAGGTCATCTGCATTTTCACTGACCATTTCCCTCTCCACCGATTGGTTCCCTGGATTCAAATTCAAACCCTCGGCAGTTACAGGAGCAGGGCCTGGATCCTGTCCCAAAGAGACACAGTCACCCCACAACAGGGTCTCGCAGCTGGTGTCCTGGGGCACCCCAACGGCCAGCCAGCCCAACCCCTCCTGGGTCTGCACAGGGATCTGGGCCATAGGCAGGGCGAGGGGCTTCGTCCCTGAGACCCTCACCCAGCTCACACAGGCCCTCAGCCTCTGAGGCTGCACCACCCAGGGCCTGACACCAGTTCTCTCTGTCCCAGGATCTCGCCACCCCAGGAATGTCTCCCCATTGACCATCACCTTCCGCTCCCACTGGGGGTCCGAGGGGCCCGACCCCAGGGAACTCCACACAGACATATAGGTTGGGGTCAGGAGTGGGAGCCTGTCCACCTCCCCACCCATCTGGCTGATGGAGTCTGTGGCCTTGGGACCCAGCAAGGGAGCTAGACACCGGGGCTTTTCCGCAGGGTCCCCCTGGTTCAGATCTCCAGCCTGCTCAAAGGCAGTGAGGTGGGCATCCACACCCCCCCCCTTAACTAGGGCAGCAATTTAGTCTCGAGGTTCCCTGCAGAACTGGCCCCCCGGGATCTATCCCCACTCACCCCGGGGAGGTCCCCTAGGCCTCTCCGCTCCCCCACCGCCAGTTCATGCTGCTGCTGCTTCTGCAGCTCTTTCTCGGGCTCTCGCTGTCTCCCACGGTCCTCTTGCTCTCTCAGACTCCGCTCCAATCCCGTCCGTCTCGATCCCCCGATGGGGAACCCGATCGTGAAGACCCCCGTCTGGTCGGGGACAGGAGTCTTGGCGATGCCTGGCTCCCACTCCAGCTGCTCCCAGATCCTGCTATAGCCCCATTTGGGATCAGGAATCTGTTCCTTAGAGCGGTCATCCTCCTCCAGCTGCACGATTAACTCTGCTTTGGTGAACTTTCCAACGCTCAACCCTCTCTTTTGGCACAGGGTTACAATGTCCTTCTTAAGGAGACGGTGACAGGCCATCACTCTGCTCCTCCCAAGTTGTTGTGGACTCACAGGCCCGTGTGTTCTCAGCTCCCCACGGTTTCCAGGGAGAACCCCTAGTGTGCCAGCCCTTCTCGAGGTCACCACCTCTTTGCCAGGGTCGAGCTGCAGACTCCTCCGCCCCTGAGACTGCTCACTGCAGTCCCCAGGGGGACCCCATTACTGCACAGTCCTTCTCGCTGGTCACACACTCCCAGGGGTTAACCGCCCCCTGAAACCGCTCCTCTCTGAGCCTTCAGCAGGCCTGGTCCTCGGCAATCCCCCTTCGTGTTACTGCTCCCCAGTCACTTACTGCAGGAAGCGCCATCCACGAGGTGCAGTACATCCCACCGCTGCCACCAGTTGTCACGGAGTCCCTGGGCGATGCTCTGGAACTGCTCCCCATGAAGTCAGTCAGGACTCTGGGGTAGTCGCCTTTCTGTGAGCAGCCTGTCTTCAGGACACACAGCTCACACAGCTTCCACCTTCCTGGGTCTGACCTCAGAGCATTCAGCATCCTCTGCCCCTCCATGCGCTTTCCCCCAGCGAGTCCGCTCAGGCGGGGCTCCTGGGGAAGCCAGAGGGTCCTGCACCCCAACTTCACAGTCAGACGTGACTCTCAGCCAGCCAGTAAAACAGAAGGTTTATTAGACTACAGGAACATGGTCTAAAACAGAGCTTGCAGGTGCAGAGAACGGGACCCCTCAGCTGGGTCCATTCTGGGGGGCAGTGAGCCAGACAACCACGTCTGCACTTCACTCCATGTCCCAGCCAGCCCCAAACTGAAAACCCCCTCCAGCCCCTCCTCCTCTGGGCTTTGTTCCTTTCCCGGGCCAGGTGGTCACCTGATTCCTTTGTTCTCCAACCCTTTAGCTCTCACCTTGCAGGGGGGGAAGGGCCCAGGCCATCAGTTGCCAGGAAACAGGGTGTCGGCCATTCTCTGTGTCCAGACCCCTGCACACACCTGCCCTCTAGGGCTCTGCAATGATCATACACCCTTACCCCACCACCTAGATACTTAAGAACTGCATAGGGGAAACTGAGGCACCCCCACAATATTCAGAGGAAACATTAAGAACAGGCCCACTTCGTCACAGCCCTGTCATGCCATCCCCACAGCCCGGGCCCTGCGGAACGTGTGGTACTGGTTGGTGCACATGGGCGAGGTGTGCAACCAGGAGCTGGGTGCCCCCTACACCAAGTGCCTGCGGCTCTTCGACAATGCCAAGGATGAGTGTGAGCGTGTCATCCCCGCCCTCTTCTTCCTCTGCTACATCCTCCTCCTCTTCAAGCCGCTCTGTGGCCTGGCCAATGGTGAGTTCCCAGGGCAGGGCCAAGGGTGAGTTCCCCAAGTGGGGCCAATGGTGAGTTCCCTGGGGGGAGGGCTAATGGTGTGTAAGTACGCTGAGGTGGGGCCAATGGTGTATGAGTGAGTACCCTCCAGGGGGAGGGGCCAACATCTCCAGGGGGCGGGGCTATGCTCAATCAGAGAATCCCAGCAATGTGGGGCTGGAAGGGACCACGAGGGGTGCAGCCCCGGGTGCCAAGGCCGGACCCAGTGACTCTAGCCCCGGGAGTGTGGGGCCCCCTTGGGGCCTGCTGGGTAGGGCTGGCCGAGGCAATAGGTCCGGAGCCCCCAGCCCACCTGGGCACAGCTCCCCCCATGCAGCCCACCACTTTCCCCACAGTGCTCCTGGTCTTCTGCGTCATCCCCCAGTACGTGGGGCCCTTCCTGCGGAGCAAAGTCGTGGCCCGTGAGTGCCAGGGGCCCGGGGTGGGGTGGAGTGGGGTGGGGGCGGGGAGGGGGGCATATCCCCAGGACTCAGCCCTCCATGTGCTGGGGGAGGGCTGGCGTGTAGGCCTGGGAAGGGGCAGCCCCCCCAGCCATGTGCCAGCAGCATTGCACTGCCCAGTGTCCGTTTTCCCCTGGGCCCCAGCCCCCCTGCTCTTCCCCCAGGTCTCCCCCTCCTCCAGCCCACTGGGGTCTCCCCCACCCACAGCCCCCTGCCCCCTCCAGGTCTCCTCCCCCTCCAGTCCCCTGTAGGGATTCACATCCCCCCATGGCTCTGCCACCCAGGCCTTGCCCCCCTGCAGCTCTGCCCCCCCACCTCTCGCCCCCCTGTGGCTTTACCCCCCCACCTCTCACCCCCCTGCGGCTTTACCCCCCCACCTCCCTATAGCTCTGCCCCCCCACCTCTCGCCCCCCTGCGGCTTTACCCCCCCCCCACCTCTCACCACCCTGCGGCTTTACTCTCCCACCTCCCTATAGCTCTGCCCCTCCAGTTCTCACCCCCCTGTGGCTCTGCCCCCCCTCAGCTCTCACCCACCGCCCCGTGGCTCGCCCCCCCAGCTGTTCTGAGGGTGCTGAACCGCGTGCGCAGGGAGTTTGAGTTCAACATCTCGGCCGTGAACCAGTTCGACGTCAGCCTCAACTCCACCAAGAGCCTGGCCCAGGTGGCCCTGGACATCATGGAGGCCATTGGCCTGCGGCTGCAGCCGGCCCGTGAGGTGCTGAGCCTCTGCACACACATCTCCTCCGTCGTCCTCCTCTTCCTCTACCTACAGTGAGTGCTTCCTGGGGGAGCCCACCGGGGACAGCCCCCGGGGCCCCTGCTCCAGCCACCAGACCCCATTGCCCCCAGAGCGGGGGGGAGAACCGGGGAGTCCTGGCTCCCAGCTCCCTGCTCCAACCACTAGACTCCACTTCCCTCCCAGAGCCAGAAGGGAGAACCCAGGAGTCCTGGCTCCCCTGCCCTGCTCCTGGGGCTGCTCCCCCCTGTCACGGAGTCCCTGGGCGATGCTCTGGAACTGCTCCCCATGAAGCCAGGCAGGACTCTGAGGAAGTCTCCTCTCTGTGAGCAGCCTGTCTGCAGGGCAAAAAGCTCACACAGCTTCCACCTTCCTGGGTCTGACCTCGGAGCATTCAGCCTCCTCTGCCCCTCCGTGCGCTTCCCACAGCCAGTCTGCCCAGGCGGGGTCCTGGGGAAGCCAGAGGGTCCTGCCCCCCACTCCGCAGTCAGACGTGACTCTCAGCCAGCCAGTAAAACAGAAGGTTTATTAGACGACAGGAACATGGTCTAACACAGAGCTTGTAGGTGCAGAGAACAGGACCCCTCAGATGGGTCCATTTTGGGGGGCAGTGAGCCAGACAACCACGTCTGCCCTTCACTCCATGTCCCCAGCCAGCCCCAAACTGAAACTCCCTCCAGCCCCTCCTCCTCTGGGCTTTGTTCCTTTCCGGGCCAGGAGGTCACCTGACTCCTTTGTTCTGAAACCCTTCAGCTCTCACCTTGCAGGGGGGGAAGGGCCCAGGCCATCAGTGGCCAGGAAACAGGGTGTCGGCCATTCTCTGTGTCCAGACCCCTGCACACACCTGCCCTCTAGGCTCTGCAATGATCATACACCCTTATCCCACCCCCTAGATACTTAAGAACTGCCTAGGGGAAACTGAGGCACCCCCACACTATTCAGAGGAAACATTAAGAACAGTCCCACTTCGTCACACCCCCTCAGCCTGGTGTCCCCACAGGGCCCTACTCTATCGCAGACGGTACCTGCACAATGACGACTTCGACAATATCTATATCACCGAGCGCTTCCTGGCCATGGACGTACTGCGGGCGCGGCAGGGCAGGCCCACTGTGCTGCCCCTCTCCGCGCGGGAGAGCACCAAGTACATCTGCCCGGGTAAGGGGCTGCGGGCAGGGCCCAGCAGGGAGCAGAAGGGCAGGGCCTTGGGCCGAGGGGGCTGCTCCCGCCCGGCTCCCACCCGTTCTCAATGGAGCACCGTCTCCCCCCTGGCACAGGCTCCCCGTTCCTGTCGCGCCGCGAGCGCTCCGGTTACAGCCTGGCCCTGGTCGGCGTCCTGCGTCACGTGCTCCTCGGCCTCACCCTCATCCTCCTTGACTACGGCGTCTTCTGGCTGCTTGACCTGGTCCGCTACCAGCTGCACGGCGAGATCGTCGCCAGGGGTGAGTGCCCCGGCCCAGCCCCCGCCCCCCCCCGGCCACCCTTCGGGGCTCCCTCTTTGGGCCGGCCGAGCCCCCTGGTGCCCCAGGGATGGCACACTGGGGAGCAGCACATTACCACTAACCTGGCCCTGCCGGAGACCGGGCCCCCAGCTACTCCCCGCCCACTCCCGGCCCTGCCAGCCTCTGGGCCCCAGCCGCTCCCCGCCCACACCCAGCCCCGCCAGCCTCTGGGCCCCAGCCACTCCCGGCCCTGCCAGCCTCTGGCCCCCAGCCGCTCCCCGCCCACACCGGGCCCTGCCGGAGACCGGGCCCCCAGCCACTCCCCGCCCACTCCCGGCCCTGCCAGCTTCTGGGCCCCAGCCACTCCCCGCCCACACCCAGCCCCGCCAGCCTCTGGGCCCCAGCCGCTCCCCGCCCACACCGGATCCTGTCGGAGACCGGGCCCCCAGCCACTCCCGTCCCTGCCAGCCTCTGGCCCCCAGCCGCTCCCCGCCCACACCGGGCCCTGCTGGAGACCGGGCCCCCAGCCGCTCCCCGCCCACACCGGGCCCTGCCGGAGACCGGGCCCCCAGCCACTCCCCGCCCACACCCAGCCCTGCCAGTCGCTGGGCCCCCAGCCGCTCTCCGCCCACTCCTGGCCCTGCCAGTCGCTGGGCCCCCAGCCGCTCCCTGCCCACTCCCGGCCCCACCAGCCGCTGGGCCCCCAGCCACTCTCCGCCCACTCCCGGTCCTGCCAGTCGCTGGGCCCCCAGCCACTCCCTGCCCACACCCGGCCCTGCACTGACCCGGCCCATCTGCCCACAGCCCCCGTGGTGATGAGCGTCAGTGTGAACGGGACGGGCTACACGGGCGAGATCTACCGCGACCTGGTCTCGTCGTTCGACGCCCTGCAGCGTGGCAACGTCAGCGTGCTGTCCCGCCGGTGCCACCTACGTCCCGCCGAGCCGGACTACCGCACCTACCTGCTTATCGGTGACCAGCCGGGGGGGCGAGGGCGGGGGCGGGCACCCCCCGTCGCTGCCTGAGCAGGCCTGGGCACAGCCAGGTGCACGTGTGTGCTGGGCATGCCCCGTCTGCGTATGCGAGGCCCCGCGTGGCCAAACCTACGGCTCACCAGCCCGCAGGGGAGAGCTGCACCCACAGGGCTCAGCCTCAGCCCCCCTCCAATCAGCATGGCTGGCAGACGCCCCCCACTGTGCCCAGCACCCCCTCCCACATTGTGCCCCCCTGCTATGCCCAACAGCCCCTGTCCCCCCCACTGTGCCCAGCCCCCCACCTGTGACTGGCACCCCTTCCTGCTCACAGGCCTCATGTATGGCGTGTGCTTCTTCATCGCTATCTTCGGCAGCTACGTGGGGCGTTTGCGCAGGGTCGTGTGCGCCTCGTATTACCCCTCCCGCGAGCAGGTGAGACCCCCCCCGTTAGCCAGAGGGACGGTCGGCCTGGGCCCTCCGCCTGGGAATCTCTCCACACCCCCGCCAGCGATGGACATGGTCCCCCCAGCCCCCCGCCCCGTGCCGCTCACACGCCCCCTCGCACCCAGCCCCTGCCCCTATGCTCATCCCAGGCCCAGCCCCCCCAGTGCTCATGCCCCCTCCCCCCATGGCGCTCACCCCCTTGTGCCCTAGGAGCGGACATGTTTCCTCTACAACAGCCTCCTGACGCGGCGGACAGGCCTGGCGAGCTCCCTGCTCCGGGCCACGAGGCAGCGGGCAGCCGACGAAGGCCACACCAACCTGCTCCTCATCCTCGCCTCCAGGTAAAGGAGCCCCCTCCCCCTGGGGCCAGCCCCACGGTCTCGAGGGGCCAGTGGGAGCTTTGGAGCCAGGTGCCTGGGCAGGGTTGAACCGTCCCTGGGGCACCTGCAGGGGCCTGGTGCTGCCCGGGCCCCTGGGTCTTTCCATGCGGGGGCTCATGGGATCCATCCCAGGCCCTGGCGGCCAGCCTGCTCCATTCACTCCCGGGGAAGGAGCCAGGAGCCTGGCAGCACCGCGGCCCCTGACTGGCAGCTATGGAGACCTGGGGGGGGGGGGGGGCTGTGAGCCCCTAGTGCGAGGGGTGGCATGACCCAGTCTGAGATCCCGCGGGCCTGTCCCCCCCACCCTGTGTAACCCCCTCTGTGACCACCTCATCAGCCCCCCCGCAGTGCAATCCCCCTTCCTGTGCAGGTTGAGTGACCCCCACACTGGGTAACCCCCACTCCCCACCCTGCAACCCCCCCACTGTGCAACTCCCTGTTGTGCATGCCCAGTGACCCCCCCCCCAGTGCAATCCCCCCTCCTGTGAGTGACCCCTCCCCGGCGCTATGCCCATAGGTTGCCCCTGTGCGCCTGGCTGGCGCGGAGGATGGGCGTTCACCAGCAGTACTGCATGGGATGTGGGCGCATCAGCGGGGGGGCCGCCAGCCAGGACTTCATCACCTGCATCACCCCTGACTGCAGAGGTAGGAAGTGGGGCACAGGCGACAGCGAGGGGAGGGGAGCCTGGGACTGAGGGGACAGCAGAGGGCAGGGCTGGAGGGGGAACGGGGGGTGGGTGACATCCCCCCGGGCATGGGCAGCCAGAGCGGAGTCTGACACCCCTCCCTGCCCTGCTCTGCTCCCCTCCCCAGGGATCTACTGCAGGGCATGCTACCAGCAGCTCAGCAATGTCTGCGCCATCTGCATGGCCCCCCTGGCCTACCAGGGCGACGTGGACGAAGAGATGTGAGTGAGGGCGGGAGGGGCACTCGTGCCCACCATGGGGCACAGAGCCCGCGGCAGGGGGGCTGGCATCAGCTGGGGGCAGGGGCGTCATGGGCATGGCTTGCGTGACTTGTGCCCTTCAGGCAATGCCACGAGAACCCCCGGGGGAGGGGTGACATCCCCCCTCCCATTGGCTGCCTGCCCCACCGTCCCACCTCCTTGGGCAGGGTAGCCAATCAGCTGCTGGAGAAGGCAGGCCGTGTTCTCGCCCCCTCCGCTCTCATGGGGTGGGGAACAAAAGAAATAGGATCTCAGGCCGCGCCCCTTCCCCCCCAACCCCCGGCTCCTGTGACCAATGAGATGGCTCCTCTGCCCCCCACCAACATCCAGCATAGAATGGGGAGAGGGGACCCCACTGCAGTGCCCCCCCCCCGGCCTGGGAAAGTGGGTAAAGAGCCCCTGGAGGAGCAGAGGTGGGGCTGGGGGGGAGAAGCAGGGCCAAAATCACCTTAATGAATCCGAGAGCCATGGAAACACTAATTGTCCCTCTCAGCACCAGGGTGGCGGGGAAATAAAAATCAAAACACCCCAAAACCCACCAGCTCATCTATATTTACAGATCTCTGGAGCATGGGGGCCAATCATGTAACGGTGGGGGGAGGGGGGTCCGATGCATTATTTCTGCCCTCCCCCCGGCTGGCATTGGCCGTTTGATGCCGGGCGTTTAGAGCTCCAACTTGGATAGCTGCCGACACAACATGCCAGCTGGGGCAGGGGGAAGGCGGCTCGGGGCTGGAGCTGGTGTTGCCGGCTGGGCCCTGGGCTAGGGGTCCAGGCTGTGGGCCCAGGGTCCCAGGGGCTAGGGGTCCAGGGTCCCCCCAGGGCTGGGGTCCAGGCTGTGGGCTGGTGCGAGCCCAGCGGGAGGAGGTGGCCCCCCTGCCGCAGCCTTGCCCTGGGCCCCACAGCGACTCCAGTGACGAGGAGACCGTGGGGCTGTGGCTGGGTGCCCTGCGGGCGCTGCGAGGGCAGGAGCAGGAGCAGAGGTGCCGACTGCGCCAGCTGCTGCGAAGGCGTATCCGCCAGAGGGTGCAAGGCCAGGGGTCCTGCCGGCGCCTGCCCCAGGAGCTGGCCGAGTGGGTCTGGGCCCAGCTGGAGGAGGATGAGAGCGGAGACAGCACTCCCAGCCCCAGGGCAGCAGCTGACGACAGCTCCAGGTGAGCGGCTGGGAACGGGGCAGGGGCGTAGGTCCAGGCGCCAGGGCCCATAGGGCAGAGCCCAGAGGCCTATGGTATAGGGGAGGGCCCTTGCCTGCCCCACACTGCGTCAGCCCAGGCTGCCTTTCCACCCACTTTTCTGACCTCCGCCCGCCCTGGCACGACTACAGCCCGGCCCGAAAGGCCGAAGGGATTTCAACTGGGGGGCCCTGTGACCTCATGCAGGGGTCTTGCTGCCACCCAAACACGGCCCAGCCCGGATTTCTGAAAGACAATGTGGGCAGCCGCAGGGGGGCGAGCTGAAGGGCCCTGGGGAGGGGGCTCCTGGCCCCCTGGAAGAAGCAGAGAGGGGAGGAGGAGGGAGAGCTGGTACACGGGGCCCAGCAGGATTGCATGGGAGGGGAGTGCAGGGGCCAGGTGCTGAAGGCCGATCTGCCAGCACTGATCTCATGGGCCTCCTCTCTCTGCCCCCCAGCGACCTGGACTTCGGCTACCAGAACCAGCCTGAGGACAGTGACGGGGAGGGAGGGGCCCTGCCGGGGCCCAGCCCCCCAGAGCGTGGGGAGCTGGAGGAAGTGAAGACAGTCCCAGATACCAGCCAGTGAGGGAAGCACCAGCAGCCTGGCCCGTGCCAAGGAGACAGATGCACAGGGCAGGTGGGGGCACTGGGCAGATGGTCCTGCCCCCCAATGCCCATCTGGCTTCGGAGCTGCACAGACTCTGGCCTGGGCACCAGGGGGCTTCCCCCTGCCTGGGAGCCAGTCCCCAGGGACTGTGCGGGAGGTGCAGCCATTAATAAAGTGCCCTGGGGCTCAAGCTGATCTGTGCACTGAACTCTCTGCCACCGGGGGAGGGGGGGGCGGTGGCTCTGGGTGCAAGACGCCCCCCAGCAGGGCTATAAGGAGAGGGCCTAATGTCTGCATCCCCCCATCTCTCTGTGGCCAGGGGCTGCTGTTACCCTAGAACCCCCCATTTTTCCCCTGCCCCAACAGGGGGTGCTATTGACCCTACAGAGCCTGGGCTCCAGGGCCAGGAGCAGGATCAGCCCAAGAGCCCTGGGTCCCCAGCACAGGCAGGGTCCGGGGGTCTGGGGCCAGGCCCTGCTCCCCGAACCAGCCAGCCAGCCACACACAGACAGGAGCGCCGAGGGTCCCTGCTTCTCCGTTTATTATCAAGCAGCCTTCGTTTAAAAAATAAAAACAGCAACCGAAAAGCGCGTGCGGGGCCCGACCCTGGGCCAGCTCCCGCTGAGTCGAGTCGTAGTTTGGTTTCTTTACACGAGAGAAGTTCAAGTAGCCGAGATTTCAAGTTCACCATAAGGCACTTTAAAGCCAGGCCAGGCCCCCCGCCCCGCCCCCGGCAAAGGACTGACACTGATGGCAGACAGCACTGGGGGCTAGGAGGGGGGAGAAATATATTACATCATCTCTTTAAATATAGATAAACTCGGATTTGGGGCTAATACTCCCCGGGGGGCTCCGGGGGCTGGGGGCGCTGCTGCCAGGGCAGACGGGAATGTGCAAACAGCAGAGACGCCCCTCGGGGGAGGAAAGCCGCAGCTCTGAGGTGGCCCCTGGGGCTCATCTGCCTCCGCGGGAGGGTATGGGCCCCCAGCCCACGGAACGGGCCCTCCTCCCCTTCCCGGGCAAACTTGCCCAAATAGTGCAACCAGAGAAAGCAGCGAGGAGTGCAGGGGCGAGTGAGGCCCGCGGGGGGTGGGGGCCTCCTCAGTTAAGGCATGGAGGTGCGCAGGGCACCCTAGATTTGCATTTCCCTGCAGTGGACAGCTGTGGGCAGGGGGCTCTAAATGACACTGACCCACAGTCCAATTCCACAAGCTATTTACAAGGGGGTGGGGGGGGCTGAGAAAGCCAGTGGGCGCTGTGGGACACCAGCTCTGCCCCAGGGCATTAAGTGCTTTTCCTCCGCCCAGCCGGTAAATAGAAACATACAGCTTTAAAAACCAGGGGCTGTCGAATGCGCGGCAGGGGGGTGGGGGGGGAGGGGCAGCACAGCTCCTCCCAGGGCATTGCTACATGACCCCCACATCCCCAGGCCCTGCAGGGCCCTAGGCACGCATGGCGCCTGAGCCAGCCAGCCCCACAGGAGGGGGGAGCGTGAAGTCCCCACCCTGCAGAGCCAGTTCCGTGGGGTGCAGGGCCAGCCACAGGCACCAGGGAGGCCACCAGGTGGCGCCCCGTGGCCAGCTGTCAGGGTGGCCCGGCACCCAGTGCTGGGGGTGCAACCAGGCCTGGCACACGGAGGGTTAAACACACCTGATTCATACAGGGAAGGGGCACCTGGTACAAACTGGCTCCAGGTACAGCCTGTCCCACCCGTGGGGCTGGTGGCTCCCTGCCAGCTGGGGCGGTGTGGACATGCTGCCCCCCCACCCAGCTCTGAGCACCAGCCAGCAGGGAGGGGCTGTGAGCTGGCAGAACTGCGAGCTCCCTTCTCATCCCCCCTTGGGCAGCTCAGACACACCAGCCAGCACCTGGCACTGCCCCCCAGGCTGTGGGAGGGGCAGGGCGAGGCCCCCCCAGCATTTCATTGTGCAAATCCGCCAGGGGGAGTTTCCCCCTTTGCATAATTCAGAACAAACAGCGACGGGAAAAACAGGAACAGAAACTTGCGTCGTCAAGTGAGAGACAGTTTGTGTGGGGAATAGCTTCCCGCCCAGGGAGCAGGGTCAGGCTGCAGCCCCGCCCCAACCTGGGAACAGAATCCAGGAGTCCTGGCCCCCAGATCCCTGTTCTGTAACCCCCAGACCCCACTCCCCTCCCAGACCTGGGGACAGAACCGAGAAGTCCCGACTCCCAGGCCCCGCATTCTAACCCACCAGACCCCACCCCCCTCCCAGAACCAGGGATAGAACCCAGGAGTCCTGACTCCCAGCCCCCGCATTCTAACCCACCAGACCCCACTCCCCTCCCAGAACCAGGGATAGAACCCAGGAGTCCTGACTCCCAGCGCCCCCCCCCTTCTAACCCACCAGACGCCACTCCCCTCCCAAAGCCGAGGACAGGACCCAGGAGTCCTGGCTCCCAGACCCACCTGCTCTAACCCACCAGTCCCCCTCCCCTCCCAGAACCCAGGAGTCTTGATTCCCAGTCCTCTGCCAGCTCTTTGAAGAGCGGTGAGACACGAGGAGAAGAGGCCCAGCCTGCAGCCCCTGCTCCAGGGGAGCTGGGATGTACTCCCTGGGCAGCCCCGCCTGCCGCCCCCCCACAAGACCCACATGCCCGAAAGCCCCAGGCGGTCCTTATTGCTTCTTGTGCCCGCTCCCAGCAGGGGCAGGGTCCATGGGCTCCAGCTGGGGGCGCCGTGATGCACTATCCCCAGGGGGTGCTGGGCCTCCGCCCGCCCAGCCCCTGCTCACCCCACTCCCAGCCCCAGAGCGGGAGCTGCTGGGGCTGTGCCCGCAGCAGCCCCCCACCAGGGCAGGGCAGGGCAGCACCCGCCCTGGGGATAGTGCCTGGGGCGGGGCCCTACGCCGTCTCCACGGGGACGGCCCCATCCAGCTGCGGCCCCTCCTCCCCCTCCTCCTCCTCCTCGTCCTCGTTGGGCGGGGGGGCGCGGGCCGGGTCCCAGAAGCGGGCCAGCGAGAGGCGCAGGCTCTCCAGGCGCCCGTTGGACAGGTCGAGGCCCGGGGGGCCAGCGGGCGGCGGGGGGGGCTCCTCACGCCGGCGCCGGCGTGTCCGCACCTCCAGGCAGTTCTGGCCCTTGAGGTGGCGCTGCAGGTGGTCGTCCTTGGCGAAGGCCTTGTGGCAAAGGTAGCACTCGTAGGGCCGGGCGCCCGTATGCAGGTGCATGTGGTTCTTCAGGTCGTAGCTGTGCAGGAAGCGGGCACTGCAATGCTGGCAGGAGTAGGGCCGCTCGCCCGTGTGCTTCCGCATGTGGATCTTCAGCTTGTCGTTCCTGCGGGGGGCGGGGGAGAGAACCGTGAGCGGGGGGCGAGGGCCGCCCGTCGGCGGGGGCCGCGACTCTGGGCCGGGAGAGGCCCCAGCTCAGCCTACGCAGGGGGCAGGACCACACGAGAACTGCCCCTGCCCCCCCGGCACAGCGCTGCTCCCTGCCCCCCCGGCGCGCACAGCCATCGTCCCAGCTGGGCGCCGTCATCCATCCCCTGGCATGGGAACATAAGAAGGGCCCTACGGGGTCAGACCAAAGGTCCATCTAGCCCAGTGTCCTATCTTCCAGGTGCCCCAGAGGGAATGAACAGAACAGGGAATCACCAAGTGATCCATCCCCTGTCGGCCTCTCCCAGCTTCTGGCAAACAGCGGCTAGGGACCCCATCCCTGCCCATCCTGGCTAACAGCCATTGAGGGACCGATCCTCCATGAACTGATCTAGTTCTTTTTGGAACCCTGTTATGGTCTCAGCCCTCACAACATCCCCTGGCAAGGAGTTCCAGAGGTTGACTGTGCATTGTGTGAAAAAAATACTTCCTTTGGTTTGTTTTAGACCTGCTGCCTATTCATTTCATTTAGCGTCCCCTCGTTCTTGTGTTACGAGAAGGAGTAAACAACACGTCCTTATTTACTTTCTCCACAGCAGTCATGATTTTATAGACCTCTATCGTGTCCCCCCTTGGTCGTGAAGCAGGGGTGCGCGTGGGGAAATCAGCAGGCAAAGCGGGGGGCAGGGGTGCACAGGAGGGAAACCTACAGGGGGAAGTGGGGGGTGCTGAGGGCACAGCCGGGCACTCACCAGGTGAAGCGGGGGCGCTGGGGGGACGCAGTGGGCGAAGCGGGGATGCCGGGGGCACTCACCGGGTGAAGCGGACGCCACACACCTCACAGGCGAACGGCTTCTCGCCGGTGTGGGTGCGCATGTGCCGGGGCAGCTTGCCCGCACCGTGGATGACCTTGTGGCAGACGGGGCACTCCTGGGGCATCTGGGAGCGACGCTTACGCACCAGCTTGTCGGGGCTGTCCAGGCCGGGGGCCAGGGGCTCCTGCTGCAGGGAGCTCAGGTAGGCCATGAGGTCAGGGTCAATGGGGTCCTCGTCAGAGCCAGCGTCCTCGGGAGACAGGGCTGGCTGGTAGGGGTAGGGATACGGGTAGGGGTAGGGGTGCGGGGGCAGCTCCTCCTCCTCAGCCGCCTCGTAGCCCTCGTAGGGCTGGGCCAGGCCCTCGGGCGCCGGGGGCGGCAGGGGAGAGGGCTCCCGAGGCTCGGGCAAGGGGCTGCCGGGGCCCGGCTCCTCAGTGTGGTGGTTGAGCCGGGAGGATCGAGCCTGCAGGAACTTGCGGGTCTTCTTGCTGCGGCGGGGGGCCGGGCGGGCAGGGAGCAGGGTGGCCCCGGGCCCGTCTGGCAGGGCGGCGAAGGCCTCGAGGTAGCGGCGCGCCCGCTCGCAGTCCCCGTCGTCGGGCCCGGGCGCCTCCCGCCCGCTGCCCTGCAGGATCTCCACGCAGGCGGCGATGACGCAGGGGATCTCCAGCAGCTGGGCGGCCTGCAGCACCTCACCCATGTTGGCGCTGCTGATGGTGAGCGTGGCCGTGTAGGCGAACTCCAGCAGCGCGCCCAGCGCCTCGGGCCCCACGAAGTCCAGCTCGCAGACCTCCTGCCCCGCGCCTGGCCCCGGCCCCGCGAACAGCTTCTTGAAGTAGCGGCTGCAGCCAGCCAGCACGGCCCGGTGGGTGCGGTACTCCAGCCCCCGCGTCTTGATGGTCACGTCGCACAGCACCCCGAGCTGGCGCTGCTCGTTCAGGCTGCTCAGCAACTCGCTGCTGTGGTCCGGGAAGGGGATGCCGATCAGGTCATCCTCGGGGCTCCCCATCCTCCTCACCTGCAGGCGGAGACAGGGCCTGGTCAGAGCCTTGCGCTCCCTGCGGCACCCGCCCCGGCTTCTGCGAGTCTGGGCCGGGGGGCAGCGAAGGCAGCTCCCACGCTGGGACTAGCCCTGCCCCGAGCCAGGCCCTACAGGGGGCTGGGCCCCCTCCCCAGAGTGCCAACACTCAAGCCCCAGGGATAACCCCCTCCACTGCCCCAGGGAGCAGCCAGGGCCCTCAGCCCTACAGGGCCCAGGGGGAGGGAAGCAGCCC